CTATATAATTCTCTGAAAATTACAGCGAATTGCCGGGAGGAGTAGCTGGAGTTATAATCACGTTTCTCTTAACACGACTTGTTCAAAAGTGACTGACTCGCAATTTTAAAAATAATTAATCGGGATATCGCGACTTAAACGCTTCGGAAATGCAATTATCCGTAGATACGCCGTCGCGAGAGAATAATCCTCGTCGCGTTCTAAACCAGCGGTGCCCAAAGTCGATGCTACAGATAAATATAAAGCCATACACAATGGGAGGGGGGGGGTACAAAATCAACATTTCACATACACATGTATTAAAATAACGTGTCGGGGGTGAAAGAGCAAGTGATATTAGTTTGAGAGGAACGCTGAAAATTACCGAAATAAAACGAAAAAAATATTAAAAAGGGTAGATTTAATTTTCACGAACCTGTATCTCGCGCGAATGAAAATTTTATATGAAATTTTCAGCAACACGGACATTCTTTTTTTTTTTTTTTTTTTTTATTGTTAGTTCGTCGTTTTGTTACAGCTTTGGGACACCGCCGCGCTAAATGAACGTTCAAGCGCAAAATTATCTAACATTACTGTACAAAAACGTACGCGGGGATAAACGAGCGGTAAATAAGCGTCAATAATACTGCTAATTCTTAAATAATACCCTCTTATGGCGCATTCCTCCTAATCGCATCGCTCGTCTTATACCCGTATTATGTTCCAACAACTAAAACGAGCGCGCGGGTTATCCTGAGACGCAGCTTATACGTACTTGGACGTAATCATCTTTAGGAGAAATAAGTAAAAAAAAAAAAATGAAAAAGCGACGATCGTGTCCCGTATTTCTTTTTTTTTTTTACGAGATGACACGATACTGAAAACGCCTCGCGCAAAACGCTATCCGTCTATCGATTCGTTCTTACGTGCGTGCCCGCGTCGAACCGGGGATGATAACGATAATTTCGATATCTCCGACGCGGAAAGTCGTACGGGGATAAAAGCGCGCACCGAGAACCGTAATTCAGTCGTCACCGAGTTTTATCAGACCGCAACGGACCCCGAAAGCGGATAATACGATATTTTCCTGCACATGTTTTCGCGAGAATCTACGTCCCCTTCATATTAAACTATATATAGGTAATAAATCCGAAAAAAATAAAACAAGATATAAATGCCATAAGGTGGAAAAGTCAGTATCAGCTATTATTTACTTCACGATAATCCATCTCCTGATTTTTATTTTTATCTTTCTCTCACTCGATTCATAATACAAATATAAAGAAAAGTCGCGGATATAGCACATAATATAGAGGATCGCGACATTAAACAATGGAATTCGTATGGAATGTACATGTAATACGAAATGAGAGTCATTTCTTTTTTAATCCTAAAGGGGAAAAAAATAAATAAAAAATTAAGTTTGCTTAATTCGTTACGGTAAAATTATCATATAAATCGTATCCGTATAAAATCCAAATGTAAGCGAAATGGAGCGATCTCCGAGCGATCCATCCGATCGCCGTAATACTGCCGAGTATCGACGTTTCGATCTCTGATAGCGAACTCTTGACAGAAGAACAGAACTCTTAACGCTACTTCGATAATTCATGAGACATGCGACTTTACATTACAAGCGTGATTTCACCGATCACGAAAGCCCACGTTCACTTCTCGTCCCTTCCCCCCCCCCCCGGGCCGTAAATCTTCGCGAATAGACGCGTACAAATCGCTCGTCGGACGTGTTCTCCCCAAGCGTTCGCTTGTCCACGTAGAAAAGCTCCGCCGCGCGATAATTAATTTATCCCGTCCCGTCTTTCCCTCCCCTCCCCTCTCCTCCCCCCCCCCCGATGGACGAGACCGACGGTGTTGCGTAAAAACGGATCTCGCACCCCGGCCAGCCGCTCTTCGTATTGGAAGGAAATCGCTACAATAGCTACGCCACCCACGAGAGTGCCGGGCACCAGCGGTATTATAGCTCGTTTCCCGATAAAACACGTATTGTCATTCAACGAATTTTACAGCGGCGCGATAAAAATCCGAACGTCCTCCCCACCGGGCTCCCCGGCAAAATTGCCTTTCATTGCCCGACGGTCCACTTTCGGGACTTTCGACCTCTCTGTATTTTTTTTTCTCCTCGCGAGAGATCTCTCCTATGAGATATTAATCATATCTCCTATAAGAATCCAATTATCCGTGGAGAATACAAATACAAACACTGCGAGGGGGATTCCACGAGGGAGAAATTCCAGATTAAAAGGTATCGCGCCGCCGTCTTTATATTTTATTTAGCAATAGTATATATATATATATATATTTATACATATATTTCTCTTTTTTTTTCTTAGGTCTCCATTTAATTTATCTCTTACGAAGATATACCTATAATTAAGTTTACAGTTTGCGCAACATAATCTCTCGCGTTTCATCAATAACTGCGTTATACCTCTCGATTTGTTTAAAGATGTATTCGATCGTTTTTTGCGATTAATTATACGTTTATAAAGACACGGAGAGAATCGAGAATAGACTAGATTAACTGGAGTTGATACAGAGAAGAAGGGAAAGAGAAGGAAAGGAGAGGAGAGAGGAAAGAAGAGGGCGAGAGAGAGAGAGAGAGAGAGAGAGAGAGAGAGACAACTGCAAAACGATCAAATATACAGACACATAGTCGAATATCTTTTTGCTCCGATTTTTCGTTATTTTCTTCCTCGTTTTTCATTCTTCGTTTTCCCACACAACCTCCTCTTTTATTGTTATTTTTGCATCTGTTTTATTCATTATACCCGCGTATACGTGCGCATAACATTTCGACGTGACGACCTTTTGTTTATCTACGTTTCCTTTTCTCTTTCCGCCACGTTTTCATCTTCGATTTTCACGAGCTCGGCGCGCCTCCAACTGGGGCTGGGCAAAATTTCAGATACATCTACTCGACACGAAATATTCAATACAAATATTCAAAACAAAAAACAACATTTTTAGTATATTCAAAATTTAACACAGCAAATATCCCGCGCGCTTAAAAATATTCTTATTTTAATATTCTTAATATTCTTTTTTTGCTTAATATTTGCTTTTTTCTTTTACCCGAACTTTTGCCCATTTCGTTTGGACATCCACGTCGCTCAATTCCTCATTAGCAACTAATTGCAACGTGAATTGTCTCGTCTCCGAGCTCATTGCTGATTCAGACGATTAGCGATTAACGACAATCAGTGCGATGACCTCACAACACAGTAATAACAACGATGATATTCACAGCACATTCACGCGACATTGCTTCGCTATATACATATGTTCTCTCTCTCGATTTTGCTTTAATCCCGCTGCGACACGCATTACAACGAACGTATGCTGATTGCAAATTTGTTTCGCCATATATATATATATATATATATATATACGAAATATCCTCTTGGTACTACCTTGTGACACTAGGAAAAGAATCGTGAGAATCGCG